CACACACACACACACACACACACACACACACACACACACACACACACACACACACAATGTCAATGATCAAAGACAAGGTACTTATTCACCCATGACATCACAATAATAATATAATTACTATTTCTATTGGATTGGCTGCAGGATTTCAGGAGATACAGCTAAAGACCTGGACATCTATCAGTCTGTCTGTGAACAGATGGAGAGAAACTTTGCCAAATCTAAGTGGAAGGTAGGTGCTGCTGGCTCAACTACTACACAACAATCCAGATGTAATGTGGGAGAAAAAGGAAGAAAACAATTATCAGAAGTTAATTAGAGGGTCCATAGTACTTTACATAGAATGTCAAAACCCTAAAAATGATAGAGAAACCCAACAGTTCCCACAATGAGCAGCAACTTTGATGACTGTTGAGAAAATAAAAAAGCCTCATTATCTGGAAGAAGCCTCTAGAAGAAGCAGACTAGTAGAAGCAGCCTTATGTATGTTAATGAGATTATTAAATCATTCGTCTTCCACCTACGAAATATATCCCAAATTAAATCAGTTCTATCACTGTTAGAAGTACACCTACTGTATTATAAGTGTGTGTGTGTGTGTTTTTCCAACAGCAAGCCTTCAATGCAACCTCAGTAATCAATCACATGAAGAAACTGCAGCTGTCCCACAGTGATTCCTCCCCTTCACCCCTCTCCATGCCAAATATCATAGTGCAGTCCTCCTCCCAGGATGATCTAACGGCGCTAGGACCCTGCCACGATGAAACAGCTGCCCTCGACCCAAACGGAAATCCTTTTGCCACTCATGTATCCTGCAGCAACCCTGAGTCAGTTAGGGGTCTGTGTCCATCACTGAGACCCAGTCACAGTGAGCCCCATCATGTCCTCACCGTCGAGGAGTCAAGTGAAGTCCATACCTTTAAGTCAGAGAGCGACGCCCCTCTCAGGCCGTCCAGGAGGTAAGAGCTGATAGGATAAGATAAGATACGATGAGATAGAATAAGATAATCCTATTTTAGTCCCACTCTGGGGAACATTGCACTATTTTTAGACTGGGGGAAACTGGTTCTCTGAAAGAAGGTTCTTAAAGAAAGTCTGTTTTTATCACTTGTCATCATTTCTCAGTGATCGTTGTTGTTAATCTAATGAATCCTGGTGATGTTATCTGTTGCAGCATGGATGCTGTGGCTCAGAGGAAGAACCTCCCACTCCAGTCCGGAGTCTGCTCTCTCATGTGATTGGCTGGTTAACTGGAAATGAATCTCAGTGGATCCTTCTTGGTGTGAAGGTGTCAACACATCTGGTGTACAGCATTTTCATGTCTGTTGTGGTCCCCTGCTGCAGAAACCAGACGCATGCTCTACCTTTATCAAAGAAAGCAATGACTGTGTGCAGTGAACATCACATAAGAACAGACATAAGTGGGAATTCATCACTTAGATTTCAGGCAAACTCTTGTATCGAGATGACATTTATTTTCTTAAAATAATTGTTATCAATTGTATCATACTGTCGACATGTTACTGACCTCCATCAAAATATATTTATTTTGAGTAGCTTTAGGTGACATATGCAATGTGAAAGCTAATTCATCATTTTCTGACTTTAATTTGAAGTTTTACTAAGCTGATTAGCTTTCTTCATCACTAAAATGATATTTGTTGCTTGACACTATAACAAAATCTGTGAATGTAACTTTAATTGTAGTGTATCGGACAGTTTTGAACCTTGCTGGCGGATTTGTAATGCCACAGTCACGGTTGGATACAATATGTTTCTTTAGGTTGTCTATCCCATTATCATGAACCCAATTGCTCAGAAACCTCTCAAGGGATTTTCTTCTTTTGACAGTTTTCTTTTGACAATATCATCAAACATTGCATTGCTCAATTCAAAATCAGACATTGTTACCATAGTGATAATAAGAGCAGTTTGAAGTTTAAAATAATTTAAGGACATTGGGGATTTTTTCGACATCACACACATCACACACAGAGACAATGCAGAGAATATGTTTTTTTAGATTAAACTTTATTCTAAGTTGGCGATGACACTCAGTAACCTGGTGTTCACTGCCTCTGTGATATGTACATAAGCTGCTCTTGTTAAACGACTGAACTTATCAAGTGCCACAGGCTGGTGTGAACACTAGTGATGTCCTGAATTCACAAATGTAGTAACACACACCTGTTTTTTGTATTGTTTTCTCAATAAATATGCAGTAACTAGTCTGGTGTTGAATGAAAAGCTGCAGCAGCATCCAGCCTCTCCCATCCAACATTAAGACAAAGCAAAATGTAAACAGGCCTTTATGTAAATACTTTGGTTCTGTAAATGCAACAGACAAAATAATTCTTAAAAATACAATAATCATGGTACAATAATCACAGTGAACATTGGAATGGAAAGCAGCTGAATAAAAAAAGAAATTGAAGTTTGTGTTGGTTCTTGCAGAGCTGCCAAAAGTCAGAAGCTGTGACTTCTCCAGATGAAATGCTAAGTGATGAAAATGAAATAGTATCATATTTTAATGTCCCTACTGTTTATACAGACTGTCAGAAGATATTTCAAAACACAAGAATGTAGTTTCAAGCCCCTCTATAGTTTGCAATCATTGCTATGGTAGCTATTTATATCTCTCTGACCCCTCCATCTCCTTCAATCCCAGATTTCCCACAATCCTTTGGCTGCTAGAACTGATGTGCAGTGTTTAAAGGGAGGAGACTCAGCAGCTGTACATGCTGCTCTGACTGCAGCTTGCTGACTCTCAGCCCTGGCAGGTGCTCAGGTCATAGACCTTCTTTCGAAGATCTTTCAAAAGTTGTCTCAGTTTGGCATCATCTACTTCTAGCGTTGCAGATTTGTCAATAATCTGAGTCCGAAGGTTCCTCAGGGAATCTGCCTTACCTGCAAAAAGATAAGAGGACCAGGAGTAAAGCAGGCACATACTAGAAATACTACAGTCTAACTGAACAGCTGCCTCTGTGGCTCAAGGACTCCTTAAGGAAGCTCTCCCATTTCAAGGTGAATGACATTTTAAATTGACATTCACACAAACCAAAAGTGTTTTAGTTAACACACAGACTTGGGGTGGTGTGGTTTTGCTGTATTACCTTCCAGAGAACTCAACATGTCAGCAGTGGTGTTGACCAGGCTTCCAGCGTCCTTCTGTAGCTTTGCCAATCGATCTCCCGCCTGCCCCGCATTTCCACCAGACCCACTGGCAATTTGGTCTTTAAGTTCGTCCAGTTGCTCCTCTAGGGACAACAGGTCCTAAACACACACACACACACAGTTGTATCAGTATGCTTTCCTACTGCTGAACATTATTATTTAATAACAAGCAACTTTAATGGGGCAGACACGATTTCCTTACTTTATTTTAACGTCACAATAATGCAGACATTTGAAACAGAAATGCACTTTAAAAACAGCATTAATGTCTTATATCAGTCATAACTTGCTTTTTAACTATTTCAGCATGACAAGTTCTTTTTAACAGCTTTTTAAGACACTGAAGACTATGAATATATTTTTAGCCCCCAACCCCAAGTCCTGGCTCTAAACAAAGTCCTTGTAAAAGTGAATGGTCATACAAACAAGACAGAAGTTCTCTCACCTTATTTGCAGCAGTTGCTTCCTCCTCTGCTTTGTCTGCTTTATCCTGTGCGTCCTGGGCCTTATCGCTCCCATTCTGCAGCAGGTCTTTGAGCTCGTCCAGTTGAGGTTTCATTGGCTTTATCAGCTGGGATACATCATCCAGAGCCTTCTCTGCTGGGGTCAGCTGATCCTTGACCTGCATTAAGAGAACCACTTTGACTTAGTAACTATCACCAATGGGCCCACATTCCATTAATGTTTGATGCATTCTTACTTCCTACCTTATTCAGGTTCTTATTCAGGTTGTCTGTGATCTTCATACCGTTCTGCAGTTTGTCATTGATGTCAGAGAGAGAGTCCTCCACTGAGTCCAAGCCTGTCAACAGCCCGTCCACATCCGCCTTTACTCCCAGAGCTGTGTCCCTGTGAATGTGCAACCAGAGAAAACATCTTTTACATGTGTGACATGTATCGTCACTACAAATTATTTATTGTAAGTTGAGGGAAAATGATGCTCGCAATGGATCTGTGTATGAAGCCTTGTTGCATCAAAACTAATTTCTGATAAAATTCAGAAATTGGCTCTTTCAAAAGGTAAAATTCTTGTCATTTTGTATTTCATTTGTTATTCTGAACCAGGAGCCAACAATCGCGGAGAGACAGTTATGACTTTACCACAATATTCAAAATGCATATCCAGTCTATATGCAGCCACTGAATAGTTTGTAAGGAACACCATACTTGGTACTTCCTCCCTTTGTTCTCAAATAGCCTCAGTTCTTCCATGTTGAGATGGTTACAGCACTTCTGCAGATTTTTCTGCTGTACAATTCCAATCTCCCGTTGTACCACATCACAATGATGACCCAATAGATTTACGTCAGGTGACTGTAGAGGTCACTGAATTCACTGAACTCACTTCCAGGTTCATTAGACCAGTTTGAGTCATTTACTTTGTGACATGGAGCATTGTCCTGCTGGAAGTAGCCATTAGAAGATGGTAAACTGTGGCTATATAGAGGGGTGAACATGGTCAGCAACAATACTCTGATTGATTTGTATTCAGGGCCCAAACATTCTCATGCCATCACAACACAACCAGCAGCTTAAAATGTCTATCTATGGATTCACGCTGTTGACTCCAGATTGTGACTACCATCTGCAGCCTCAGTAGAAATCCAGATCCATCAGACCAGTCTCACTGCAGCCTCACAGTTATTGACTGAGAGGAGAGGAACCTGACGTAGTCTCTGCTGTTACAGACCATTCACCCCAAGGTTGGAAATGTTCATTCTGAGATGTCTGGAGCCTATGGAGTGCTTATCTTAGTTACTGTAGCCTGTCAGCTCCAAGCAGTCTGGTCATTTGGAACACATGACTAAAGGCTGCTGTGAATGAAAATCTCAGGAGATCAGCTGTTTCATAAAAACTCAAACCAACAATAATTGACATAGTCAGAGTGACTGAGATTATATTTCTTTATCATTCTGATTTTGTATTCACTGAAGCTCCTGACCTGCAAGTGATTGGATAAATACATGAATGAGCAGGTGATCTTAATAAAGTGTTTGGTGATTTTTTGATATAATTATATATTATGTATATTATAAATTTATTACTGAATTCCAAGTCAAACAAACAACAGTGAAATACAAGCATTAAGAGGATATTTCTTATTTGAGAAAACAGCATAAAAACAGCGACAGTGATTTTGGAGTGTGAAGGCCCACCTGGCGTCCTCGGCCTCCTCCAGCAGTTTCTTGGCTTTCTCCAGCTGGGGCTCTGTCTCCTTCAACACAGCTGTGCTGTCTGATAGATTGGAGGCCAGCTTCTTCAACTCCTTCAGCTTTCCATTCAGATCAGCCAGGGTGAGAGGCAGCTTGGCTTTCAGTATCCAGTCACTCACCTCCTGGATGTGGGTCAGGTTGGAGGCCGGGTCTGAACATACAAAAATAGGAGAGGTGAACCTTAAATCTCCTTCCATATATCAATGCACTCATCCAAAACAATCATTACCTGACAGGAAGTCTTTGAGTTCTTTCACAACGTCACGTGTCTCCTTTAAGTCGTCTTCTAGCTCGTCTCTGGTCTCCTTCATCTTATTGGACAGCTTCTCTGCTGACTGTCTCACCTGATTGGTTGTATCCTGTGTTTCCTGAAGCTGTAAGGAAGTTAAAGGTAGATAATGCTTCAGAATGAACTGTATAATAATATTTAACAATATAAAAGAACAATCTACAGTTGCAGTTATATGACTATGATGTTAAGGGGATATGTGCACCTTCTCTGTAGCCTCTGTGATCTTCGCAGAGAGCTTGTCCAGTTGCTCCTTCACATCCTTAGAATCAGCCTTCGCCCTCTCACTCAGCGGCAGGGCGCCCACACACTTTTTTCCCTTTTCACACTTTGAGGTCCCCCCCGGTGGACACAAGTCTCCACCCTCACACAGGAGAGGGGTGCAGGGCTCAGTGCGAACACTGCCGCATACCTGAAAGTCACATGGACATGATAAGAGGTAAATATGTGGATTTAAAGCAGATGAGCTCCAGCTCCATTTAACAAAACATCCATAAGAAATCTAGCTCGACAACTGCTGGACACAGAGAATAATCTCAAATATCTTTTGTAACTCTCTGCCATGCCAAACCACTTCCAGATGTTGAACCCTTTTCATTCACAACAGCATATAATAATCTGAATCTAAATAATCTGATAATCCTTTCTGTATTTGTGGCCCTTCCTCTAGCACACTGAGATTAACTGACACGAGAAGGGAAGTTATAAGTGTGCAGATGCATTCAAAGACAAATGTAAATGTACAGCCACCCAGGCTATGGAATC